AATATTCTTGCAGGAATCTTTTTGTGCACTTGTACGTTCATTTTGTGTGGGTATAAACCTAGGAATAGAATTGCTAGGCCATAAGGTATTTGTATATTTAACTTTATTAGAAGCTATCCGTTTTCGGGGTGCCTGGGTGACTCAGTCGGTTGGGCCTCTGACTTCGACTCAGGTCATGATCTCACGGGTTCCTAGGTTCGAGCCCCGTGTCGGGCTCTGTGCTGACAGCTGGAGCCTGCTTGCAGCTCTGGGTCTCCCTCTCCGTCCCTCCCCCTCTCGTGCTCTGTCTCTCTGTTTCTCAAAAATAAATAACCGTTAAAAAAAACAAAACAAACAAACAAACAAAACGAAGAAGAAGCAGCTATCAGTTTTCCAGAATGGTTGTACTACTTTACTCTTTCACCAGCAACAAGAGATAACGTTGCTACACATTTTTGTCAGCATGAGTGTTCTTTGTCTCTTAAATTTCAGCCATTCTGAGAGGTATGTAATGGTATATCACAGTATTTTAAATTTGTGTTTCTAATGAGTAATGGTGTTGAGAATTCTTTCTTATGCCTTTTGGTCATAAAGAAATCTTTTGTGAAGAGATTTCAAGTGTTTTATCTACTTTTAATTGGCTTGACTTTTTTTTTTCTTTACTTTTTGCATTAACTTTTTATGTTAGACTAGGTTTAGATTTATAAAAAGTTGAGATTATAGTATAGAAAGTTCCCATATACCTTGCATTCAGTTTCCCCTATAATTATCATCTTACATTAGAATGGTTCATTTGTCATAATTGAATGAATACATTATTGGGTTTTTTTTTTTAATGTTTATTTATTTTTGAGAAAGACAGAGATAGAAGGCAAGTGGGTTAGGGGCAGAGAGAGAGGGAGACACAGAATCTGAAGCAGGCTCCAGGCTCTGAGCTGTCAGCACCAGAGCGTGACGCGGGGCTCGAATTCACGACCTGAGCTGAAGTCAGACGCTCAACCGACTGAGCCACCTAGGCCAGGCGCCCCAATATTAGTGTTAACTAAAGTTCATGTTTTATTCAGATATCCTTGATTTTTACATAATGACCTTTTCCCTTTGTTTTGTTTTTGTTTGTTTGTTTGTTTGTTTTGTTTTTTTACAAAACATTTTTAAAATGTTTATTCATTTGGTGAGAGAGTGAGAGAATGCATGCACAGGAGCAGGGGCGGGGCAGAGAGAGGGAGAGAGAGAATCCCAAACAGGCTCCCCGGCAGCGTGGGGCTCCATCCCACGAACTGTGAGATCATGACCTGAGCCGAAATCAAGAGTCAGACCCTTAACCGACTGAGCCACCCAGGTGCCCCTTAATTTATTTTCCAGTGAGAATCAACTGTTTTCCCAGTGTAAGACCAATTTTGTCATGCCATATTTTTAAGAATATATCTTGATTCAGGGGCCCCCATAATGACGTATTCCTGTTCCAGGATTCCACCCAGAGTATCCCAGTGCCTTCAGTTTATGTCTCCTCATGCTCCTCTTGACTAGCAATTTCTCAGACTTCTCTTGTTACTGATGACCTTGAAAATCCTTAAGAGTACAGGTCACATACTTTGTAGAATGTCTCTCAACTGGGATTTGTCTGATGTTTTTCTCATGATCAACCTGGGGTTAGGGGTTTGGGGAGGTAAAGTACCATTCTTATCACTTTGTGTAATGGGTATTGTTAAAAAGAAAACCACAGGCCCGAAATGGCATCGTTGAGGTTAAGGCCCCAAGTCAGTAAACCAAAACTGAATACCTAACCTACCTACCGTATTAACTCCCCAGAAACATAACCTTTAACCAGTCAGCATGGAATTTCTTGGTCAATACTGGGAACTTTACTGATAGACCCCTTCCTCTCACCTTAGGAGGGCAACCTTGCCTAAATAATACATTCCTTGCTAATAAGTTCCTTCTTTCCTTCCTCCCCCCTTTCTTCCCTCTTCCTTCCTCCCTTCCTCCCTCCCTCCCTCCCTTCCTCCCTCCCTTCCTTCCTTCCTTCCTTCCTTCCTTCCTTCCATTCTTTCATTCTCTCTGTCTTCTCTTTGCCTTTAAAAATCTCCTTTGGTTTAGCCCAGCAGAGCTCCCCTCTGATTGCTGGTTGAGATGCTTCGTGATTCATGAATCACTTAAAAAGACTAATTCAACCTTCAAATTTACTCGGTTGAGGTTTGTTTCTTAATAGTATGTACTGTTACCATGACTTACCACTGTTGATGTTAATCTTGATTCGTTGGCTGAGGAAGTGTTTATTAGGCTTCTCCACTGTAAAATCACTGTTTTTGCCCATGAGATGAAGGAAGTCACTGCGAGTAGCCCACACTTTTAAGGAGGGTGGAGTATCTCCATTAATTTGGGATACTTCTGCATGGGACATTTGTCTGTTTTCCCTATTCATTTATTTATTTACTTATATCAGTATGGACATGTCGATATTTATGTTATATTTTGGGGTTATAATCCAATACTATTTTATTCATTTTGTTGCCCAGATTGTTTCAGTTTCAGCCACTGTGAGCATTTTCAGTTGATTTCTGTTTTCCTTTGGCATACCCCCATCATTGTGGAGTTTGTTTTTTTCTCTGGTACTTTCTTATTTTATGGTATTGCAAAACGCTCTAGGGTCTCCCTGTGTATTTCCTGCCCCAGTGCCAAAATCAGCCATTTCTCCAAAGAGCCCTGATTCCTTTTTTAAAAAAAAATTTAAATTTTTATTTTTTTAAAGTGATCTCTGTGCTCCCTGTGGGGCTCAAACCCATGACCCTCAGATCAAGAGTCATATGGTCTTCCGACTAAGCCAACCTGGCACCCTGAGCCTTGATTCCTTTGATTGATGACTTGACTTTTTACTATTGGCTTCTAAGCATTTTTTATATTCAGAATTTGAGTCACTTGTTAGATACATGTATTTCAAAAAGCTTCTCCCGGTATGCCTTTCCTTTTCACTTTTTATAGTTTTTTTATGAGCATAAGTTTTTTAATGAAATCTAATTTGTCTATAGTTTTTCTTTTATGGTTAAGCCAATTTTGTTCTCTGAGAAATCTCTCCTATCCCAGGATTGTTAATATATTATATTATGTTATATTATATCATTCATATCATATCATATCATATCATATCAACTATATTATATTATACTTACTCTACTATACTATATTTAAGATACTGTACTATACTATAATCCTAGGAGCTTTAGTTATTGAAGCTTGACTTTTAAACTTAGGAGTCTTCTCAGATTCATCTCCTGAACATAGTAGGCTAGGGAATACTAAACACTAGGGAATCATGGTGTACCCAATCAACAATATGACCTCCCAGAAACCTGCTCCCAGAGACCTGTTTTTTATTTTTGAGAGAGAGACACACAGTGCAAGTGGGGGAAGAGCAGAGAGAGAGTGACACGGAATCTGAAGCAGGCCCCAGGCTCTGAGCTGTCAGCACAGAGCCCACAAACCATGGGCTCGAACCCACAAACCATGAGATCATGACGTGAGCTGAAGTCAGACGCTTAACCTACTGAGCCACCCAGGCGCCCCTCCACATTTTTTATTTATAAACATTGAGAATATTTTTCTGCTCTGCTCAGGTGCTTTCCTCCCTTGTCCTTATCTCCTCCCTGCAACCCCTGGGCGCAAGAAGTAGTAGAAGCATTTGTATATAGAAAACTGTGGCTTTCCTTCTTAACTGGAATCAGGAAGCTTCAACTCTGCCAATACCACCACCTTTCACACCTATCAACTAGTGACTACAATCCAGAATGTGACTGTCAACCAAAAGTGTCTCTAAACACTCATGCTTCCATAACCCTATTGACTTACTTACCATCAGCAACAGCAGTGAGAAGGTTGCCTCTCCTCACTTCTGCCAACTCTCTTGAGTGCATCTAATTTCTATCCTGAACCCAACCTGCAAGGGAATCTGAGAAATGCAATTTTTTCAGTTTTTCAACCTCTTCAGCTAGGAGGATAGAATAGATTTTAAGTGAACCAATCTACATTTAAAATTATTTTAAATCCCACCCACACCCTCCACACTAAGTGTGAAGCCTGCTTGGGATACACTGTCTCTCTCTCTGTCTGACCCTTCCTTGTTCACGGTGTCTCTCAAAAAAAAAAAAAAAAAAGAAAGAAAAGAAAAAAGATAGATAGATAGATGGATAAATAAATAAATATTTTAAATTAAAAAATTAAATTAAAAAGCAAAACAGAAACCACACACTGAGGTGGTGGAAGTAATACTATGACAGGAATCCCCAATACAGCACCAATTACTGCGGATTATAATGGATCCAATTTTCTCAGATTGGATAAAAAAAATAACTTCCAGATATAGCAGTATATTAGAAAAGGGTTAAATATTAAGAGTATGAAAAATCTATGCCAGGCTAATTATAAACAAAAGGATAAAAGAGTGAAACATGAATATCAGACAAGGGTACAAAGAAAGTTTTAAATTAGATAGAGGGGTAATATCCTGGCATCTGTAAGTACCCGTAATTTACTCTCTCTTTTTTTTTTTTTTTTTTTTTTTTTTTTCCCCCCAAACAAACCTTTCCGGGGGGCCCGAAAAAAAAACTTGTTATGAGGGGAAAAATTCTTGGAGTTTTTTTTTTTTTTTCATTTTTTTTTTTTTTTTTTTTTTTGCTTCAATAGAGGTCTGTGTCAGGCAGAAAAATGTAAAAGCAAGATTCAATCCTTGGCCTTTTCCAGGGACTCAAAAGAGACATAGAGGGAGAGAACCTCAGTTATCGCCCAGATCTTCTGGAGTAAGTTAGACACACCAGTCCAGCCTCCTGAACCGTCACTGGGTCCTGACCACCTATTTGGGGTAGAGAACTGGTATTCATCTCAAAGTTTGGAAGAAAGGGTCTGGGAGGCACCAAGCAATGGGTGGGCAAAGAGAATGTGTCAGCCAGTGAAAATCAACTTTCCATGGGTCCACGGCAGATATGGACCAGAGACCAGAAACAACATGAATCTCTGATGTTTTTCTACAGAGTTCTGTTATCAACTTGTAAAGAGCCGACTTCAGAATTAGACTTTTCCAAATCCTATATTTGGATTTGGCCACGAAGCCAAAACTTCACAGCATTGCCGGACATTAAATCTCCTATGCAAGCCTTTGCTCTGGGTGTCTTTTTTGTTTTTTGACAATGTTGCCCACAGTGAGTACCGCGAAAATCTAGTTTACCATTGCTTTTTCCAAGTCCTTCCGGTGACTCCTTCTGATTTGACCTAGTACAGCACATCTTGGGGGAGCATTGGTGGTTCAGTGGTGGAGGCCTGGGTTCAATTCCCAGCCAGTGCAGTGTGTTCAGCAGTTTTACTTTGAACTGTCTGTCTGTTGCTCAGGCAAGTTAGGTCCCTCTGGGGTTCTGACCTTCAGGGAACAGCTGCCCCATTAGGGGAGGAAAGTGGGTTATTTCCGGGGCAGAAGACATTGAGGAATTTGTGTGAACAGGGACTTTGGAGAAGGTATGTCCTTCACGTGCGGGTGTGTCTGACGGGTCTGTCTCTGACGTTTTTGCATCTTTGGGTCTCGAGCCAGTGTTACTTTTATTCTTCCTTCTGGTGGTCCCTGGAATCCATAGAGTCATCTGGTCACTGATACACATGCTGGACTTGGGCAGACCATTGGGCCACGTCTCACTATGGAGTGGGGATCAAGAAACGAAATTCCCAAATTGAGACAAGCCGCAGGGAGGGCTAGGCAGACACCCCAGTGGAGAGGAAGAAATGAGGGGCCCCAGGAAGGAGGAGACTTGTGGGGAAGAATCCACAGGGTGATGAGGGGAACTGGGTAGAGATAGGCTTCAGTCTTTGATGGTCTTGGTAGAATGAAGGATGAGTCCCCGAGTGTAGAGCAGCATGTACAATAAAGTCATTTTCACTACTATTGTTTTATAGTCTGTCCGGGAAAAATCTATTTAGTGCATCGTTTTTATGCTTCTTGGTAAGCAGCACGGTGGGGGAGGGGGGCGGGCGGGAAGCCATGACAATCATCAGCTCTGGAGGTTTGGAGGAGGAGACTCTGGAAAAAGAAAACCCAGGGATCATCAGGTTTGCCTACCCCTGTTTTCATCTACTATTTTCCTCAACAAACCTTACGTAGGGTCCCAGATCTCAAACTGCCCCTGCCACATTGGCAAATTGAATATGTGCCACCGATCATTTCTTTCTTGAAGGGATAAGAGATGGTAGAGCCGGTGCTATGGGAGTGAGATGCAAGAACAGAACTTAAATGCTTTTCTCCGTCATGTCTCACTGCTACCTCTGAACGTCAGCCTTCCACACACACCAGTTCAAAAACGCCTTCAGTCTCTATGGAGGGTTAGAAGTCTTTTATAATTCCTGTAAGGCATGTTTCTTCCTTCCTTCTATAATTCCACCAGGGTTGATTTTTGAGGAGCTGGTCAGCAAGCCCGGACCAGTTCAACATCCTGGATCATTTGTCTGGTTTCGGTATCGTTAGAGTAGGCAGGTAGTTAAGTTGTCTAACAGGACACCTGGAGGTCAGCAAAGAGGAAGTGCTGGCCAGCTATCAGGGAGGTCAGAGGCCTGTCCTGGCAGCGGCAGTCCACAAGAAGCCGGATCAAACCAGATAGGCCCAAGATGGTGGGAGCCAGGATGGGAAAATTGAGGGGGAAAAAAAACAACAACAAAAAAGAAAACCCTGCTTCTGGACCAAACAGTAAATATTCCGCCCCCCTAGTCAATAACTGTCAATGAAAGAGAGAAACCCAACCCCCAGGGTGTGGCAGTTCACCTGGCTCTGGCTCTCACTCCCCTCCCGCTGTCACTGTCCCTCTGTCACTAGCACTCTCACTGGCGCTCTTACTCTTGAGCTCAAGTTCGGCTGCTCTCATATCTCCAGGAGTGTACTTTTTGCTTCTGTTACTCTTCTGTTGTGCTACATGTCTGTTCTTGAATTCCTTCTCCTGGCAAGACCAAGAACCTTTGGCAACTCCTTCAGGTTCTGGCTGGATTGAGGAGGCCCCAGGACCCCGGGTCTCCCCAGTTCACCCGGCAATAGTATATTAAAAAAACAAAACAAAACAAAACAAAAACAAAACAGGCCCAAAATGGCATCACTTGGGTTAAGGCCCCAAGTCAGTAAGACAGGACTTACCACCTAACCTAACTGCAGTTTCAACCTCCCAGAAATGTAACCTTTAACATTGTAACCGGCAACATGGAATTTCCTGGTCAATACTAGGAACTTTACTGGTACACTCCTCCCTCTTCCCCTTAGGAGGGCAGCCTTGCCTAAATCATGCATTTCTCGCTAATAAGTTCCTTTCTTCTTTGATTTTTATGCCCTTTCCGCCTTTAAAAACCTTTCTGCCTGTTTAACTTCCCGCGGAGTTCCCCTGTACTTGCTAGATGGGCTGCTGCCTGATTCATGAATCATTTAATGAAGCCGATTAGATCTTCAAATTTACTAGGTTGAATTGGGTATCTTTAAGAGATTTGGTGCAGCATGGGGATCCAAAGTGTACTTCTGATGGCATTCGGGGACAATGAGAAACAGGCATGGTGCCTTGTGAGCTCACTGCCTTTCTCGCCACTTCTGAGGACTACTGGTAAGTCTGCCTTGGCTTGAGCTCCGCTTCTGTGTGTGTGTTCGAGCGACTGATCTAACTGGTTTCCCAGTCTAGGGGTCGTGGGGTAGTGTAGACTGACGGGAGGTTCCGACAGAGCGGCAGTCCTTAGCCCTTCGTTCAGTCCACAAGTACACGTTGGAGTCCTGTCTCCTTTTCCAGTCCACAGTCTCCATTTACTGGAGTCTACTGGTTTAGTCCATGCTGGGAATCGCTGGTGGTGTGCAGGGCCTTCTCTTTGCCAGTAATATCTTTTGGTTACTGCTGGTGTGTTGAAGTGCCTACGTTTGTCTGGTTTTGTGCGAACAGGGCTTAGCTAATAGGATCCTTAAATTCTAAAGAGCCAAGCACGCCACCTTCTGGCACACCTGCTTACTTTGTGTCTAAAAACTATGGTGCCAGGAGCTGTGCATATCTGTAGAAACGGCGAAATTTTACTAAAAACAACTTGGAATTACAATGGCCACGACGGGGAACATTCCAAGTAGATAAGACAATTTAAGAAGTGCACTTAAAAGTAAAGGTTCTCAAATTAAACAGAATGGGATAACTGTGTTAATTGGCAAGGAAAACCTCCAGAAGCCTTCCAGTTCATTGAAAGATTCACTGCAAAAGGCTAATGGAGAAAAAGGATGTAAGAGGTACCTAAAACAAAAGACTGTAACACTGATGTGACTCCTTTTGCTCCCCTCTGTCCTCCTTTGAGGACTCCTTCTACTGATCCTCTGTCCCAATTGCTTTTCCACTCGGAAGAGACCACACAACTGTAAACAAAAGCCTTCTGAGTTAATGGCCTTACAGATACTCCTATACCTACCTGCAAAGGAGGGCCCCTGTGGGCCCCTCCCAGAGTTGATGAAACTGTGAGGGATTTTCTGGTAAACTGCTGTATAATTCTTGAAATAGGCAAGGGGAAACTGGTAGATACTGAGGATACTGCAGAGGGAGGGGGTCCTGAAAAAACTGGCAGAAGCCAGTGAAGAGCAAAAATTCTTTTTTTTTTTTAATGTATTTATTTTGAGAGAGACAGAGACAGTGTGAGCAGGAGAGGGGCAGAGATGGAGAGAGAGAGAGAGAGAGAGAGAGAGAGAGAGAGA